CGATGATGTTTGCATGTGTTTGCGAGTGTTCCATTGCTGGCTTTGTCATTAGTACGGCTCAGTCACTTGATGTTCTTCTCAAATGTGGTCGGTGACTTAAGGTTCAGTCGCGTGACAATAAACATGCAGATATAGTACGATACATTTGACCTTACTCAATTGTCCTGGATCACGATGATCGGTAGGTCAGGCAAAACCATCAAAAATGGTCTGACAAAGACAGAACGTCACTCAGAAGTACAATACATTATATTTGTACACTCATATTAGTCCCATAACCATGTCTGATTTTTTTCCATCAAGATCCATAAATAATATTGCCAGAAATGTGTAAAAACACACTATCACAACCCATTCTGCATCCTTTCACTGAATTATTTGGCAAACTGTCCAGTAGTTTTAGTGGAATCCTGCTAACTGACTGAAAATCTAACAAACATGCACAGATGAAAACAACCTCGTGGGTTTTGTACACTCAATGGCGCACATACCTCTGCCAAGGCCCAACAGTCCCCTTATGAAACCACATTTAAATCTGCAAGATCTAGATTTGGATCCGCACCAAATTGCACACACTCATATATGAGGGTGCCGTCACCTTGGATATCTCGTCATGCTAGAGAAAGTGATGGAAAATTCCTGAATCCAAGCAAAAATTCGATAGCTTCTTTTTCGGCCCATGTCCCATCCCTCCACCAAGTCTCATGGAAAACTGTTTCAAAAGTTTTTGCATAATTCTGCAGACAAACTAACCAACAAACATTCATTCCTTCCCTGACAGAGGCAATGACAACTGGCAAAGTTCGCCAAATGGTTTATCAGACTTGCTGGGAAAAAAGCCATTACATTTGTTTGTACAGTTCTAGCAAAATACGTAATGTAGTTTTTAACTTTTAACCATTTCCAGTGAAGAAAAAAAAATATATAAGAAGAAAGGAAAATAGGGACAGAAGACAAACTGGGATCTTTACAGTGCTAAATATCTTGACCTTAAAAATTCGTCCAGGCACAACAACGTCCATGTGGAGGTTTATAGGAAACATACCTTAGTTTAGTGCAAATGACATCAGTTATCTCTGAGTCATTTCTCCTGTGGAGAAGTGTATATACATGCAGTGCTGTCAGATCGCTGGAGGACTTAACTGTAGCCTCTGGTGAGCTAATAACTTTTTAACAGCTGAGTGATTTATTGAAGAACTTTTTTTTTCTTCTTTACGGTGAGCGAGTACTTAAAGTTTACCTTCATGTTACACTTTATCACTCCCGGTATAAGACTGCTTCAGATTAGTTGTAACCCGCTCCATATTTAGCCCACTTACAAACAGACCCGTGCAGTTCAACTGGGAACAGAGTGTTTTTCCAAATATCAGATCCTTGTTTCACCTCGCAGATGACGGCTCAAGACCCTGCAGCTTCTCGGAGCCAAAAGAACAGGATCTCTCGGCCCGTAAATCACCGGGCCCCAGACAGGTTTTACAAGGGGCTGTGATTCAGTCCCGTTTTCTTCATCCACCATTTGGGGAGAGCTTCTCTGCAAAAAATCAACCTCACAAGTGCAATTAACATTTGTAAAAGAAGAGATTAGAATTGACACATGCAGACTTAATGAAGGTTTTTCAATACAATACTAGCGGATGCATATTATAAATCAAACTCAAGACGTTTATTGATATGATCTCACACCTACTGACCACTTCCCCTCACAGTACATATGATTAATGACATGACACCTGAGCCATTACTTCTATGAAATTAGGAATTATTTCATCTTGATAATTACCTTCACCAATGAGGTTGTGGTTTCACCCTTGTTCATTTGTTTGTTTCTGATCGAGATGACAAAAACAAATACCGGTCAGATTACCACGAAACTTGGGAAGTTTGTTTTTTTTGGTTTGGATTCAGGAATTTCTTTCACATCCTTAAGCTTTTTGACATTTTCATAGATTTCTCAGGTAATAATTTGTGAATCTCAACAAAAAAAGTCCAACACGTTGGGAACTGATATCTCTGAGTGCTTGCAATACGTGGATCGAGTGAATTCAAATGTGGTTCCACTGTTGGGCCTTGGCGAACATGTGTTGTATCCTGATAATATAATAACAAATAATTTCTAGATTTTGTCCTGTAATCAATATGAATATGAACAGTTGTTGTGACACTTTACTTGAAACCAGACCACATTTTCGGTGCCTGATCCTGAGACGTTAACTGCCGCCAGTATACTGTGCGCACTGTGGGGACGGTAACTCACCAATTATGAGCCTCAGTGTTGGACTGAGGGGAAACTGTGACTTAAGGTTCTGATGTCTGTTCAGAACGCTATTGATTCATATGGCTTTTATTAGGATCCTGCATCCGTGCCCCAAAAAACAATATGTGAGACACTGGATGCAGCTGGCCTGGTTTTTTTTTGGTCCTCTTTTATTTTTTACAGCAGGAAAAGACAGACATTGTGAGTTTTGACAGTTGCGTTGCTGAATTCAAATGTTTTTCACCCTCTGTCCCGGTTGCGTACCTTCCAACTGGTTCTGTTTATAGTTGAGGCAGCCTTTGTTCCATCAACATCTAATAAATATGTTTATCTTAAGAACAGGAAATTAAATAAGCTGCACATTTTTATGTTATTCATTAATTTTTGTGATGGTGACAGGATTCATTGTTTTGTATCAATTTCTCATAGTTGCCTGTCGTTTCTTATGAATTTCCACCACATTGCATTGTAGTGACATGCCTGACATATTCTAGTCCTTCTAAGGAGGAACACTGGCAACATTAATCATCTAAAGTACACAAATAAGCTATTTACACATGCTAAATCTTTATTTATTCTTCAGATTAAACACAAATACTATAATTTGTAGATTTGCTGATGTTTTTTGATCAAGAAAAAATGCATTTATGATGATTTCCACAGCTCCACTCTGTGTTGACAGTGTTGTATATAGCAGCTCAATAAATTAAGGAGAAGCTCCTGATTTTGTAAAAAAAAGCTGCAGCATGTTTACACAGTTGAGAGGAATACATTAGTAAACTGTAAACTCATCTCCAGACCAGAGCTGTGGCTATGTTCTCCTGATCTGGTTCTGATTTCAAAGGCATACCAAACACATCATTAGGTGACATCATCATCCATCACTTTTGACCACCATTATTCCATTTGTTGTTATACTAAAGTCATAAATAATACGTTCTGGAACATATGTAGACGTGTGTGTAGTAAACAAAGGGGAAAAAACTGTGTTGAACCCAAAATAACCGATAACATAAAATTATTTAGGATTTTTTTTTTGTTTTAAATATGTCCCTGGCCTGAGCCCACTGAATTGGGGACTGGGCTCCTGATCCTCAAATGCAGACCCTGCACACCTTAGACCTGTGCCTGGGCCCTCAACACCCTAACCATCACCCAGAGACCCTGCACACCTCCCGGACCCAAGCCACTGAAACACGGACCAGGCCCTCTACCCCTGAACATCACCCAGAGACCCTTGCATTGTAAAAGCTTACTGTGAAAGAGATCCTGTAAAAATGAGCAGAGCTGTACGTCCATCGCAAGCAATCACTGATTTTTTCTAAAATTGAAATTAAACCAACAAACTATTTTACTTTGATTCATATTTTTCTTTCACCACACATCCTTTGAATGCTAGATGAGTTTTGATTATTCCATATTATAACACTGACTCCTTCTGTATGAAGAATGCAAACAGGCTGTTTTATGTAATATAAAAGTTTAATGGGGCGTCTCAGCATGCAGCAGCTATTGACCTATGACTCCATTGATTTAAGGCAAAATAGTCAACAATGTAAATACATGCAATATGCTTGTACTCAATACAACTCTGATACATTCACTTCTATGCTTGACTGCAACTTCAAACAAGGAGAATTAATTCAGAGTGTGATGTACTGAGATGCATAATAAGCCAAAGTACTGTGCAATGTGTTTATAACTGTATTTAAAGGAGAATCAACATTTCTTTTACTTACTTTGACAAGAGCTGAAATGTTTGAAAAAGTACATTGTATGTGACTTAAAATGACAACTATCATTGAGTATGACAGTTAACCAGGATCTGAAGGTGAGCTATTACCTCACACCTAAGTGTGTGAAAACCGTGTCCAGTCTGATCCCTGTGTTGTGATGTGAGATAACCATAATGGTTATCACACGACTGTCCTTACAGTCACAAAGTGGAATCCTGCAGAAACTGGCAGCAGTCAGAACAACAAAACAGGGACATGAAAGAATGATTAACTCCTCTGATTCTCACCACTGGCTTTTCTGTTTAATCCCCATTTTCTTAAAATAGCCAATTTAATGGTCATTAGTGGTACATTTATACCAAGCTGGAGGCCTAATCATTTCCATGCTAAGACAAAAAGCTTTAATTATGAGGGTTATAAAAACTTTTGATGAACTTGAAACCACAGCAGTATAAGCAACACCCAGTTTTCCCCACTTACATGTCTTACCAGGAGTTTCCATGTTACAAAAGATTTGGCGCCCTCTGCAGATGATAGTCTGTATTTCTTTACCATTAAAGCCCATTTGTACACAGAGTTATGATACTAGTATTGATTGACTGTAAACAAAACTACAAGCAGACATTCAGAGTTTCCATCACTATGGAGCTCACTGTTTTAATGATATAGTAAAGTCTTTAACATGGAAGCCATTATGTTAAGAGCTTCAGTCATTTTATGCTTTTTGTGTTTAGCGGTCAATTTCCTACATTGCATGAAAGGGCGCCACTTGCTGGTCATGCCCTGAGCCACAGGCTTATGCAAACTTCACATGATGATACAGTTGTTCCCAGATACCATAAGAATCACCTGCATCTGCTTACAAATACATTATAGGAGCTCTAAAGCATTTCTCCAGTATTTATAAATGTGTTTTAGGTGATTTGACACCAAGTAGCTGAAGTTGTCCTGGAATAGTTATCTGGCTCTGTATCAATCAGAGGGAAATAAGAACTGCATGGGAGACAAAATCTGACAAAAAAAACACATTTAATATACAAAAACACAAATAGAATTATTTTACATTGATTACTCTTTGTATAAACACTGGACTGATGGTTAACCAGGCTCCAGCTTCACAGTGGCTCCTTGTCCTCCAAACTCAGGACAAAGTCAAACTCCTCTGCAGAGACAAAAACAAGCTGTAGTCACAACAAGTCCATGACTTTGTGATGAATTAAAGTGCACATTTCTTTACATACCAGTGGTGAGCGGCTGCACAGAGAGCCTGGCCCTTGTAAAAAGCGCCATGTCCTTCAGAGGCCCTCCCTTGGCGCGTTGCTGCAGGTGGTAATATTTGAGCTCAGACAGAGGAAGATAACGCTTCAGCATTCTTTGATACTGGACGTCCACCTGTGAGAGGACGACAAGTTCGAACATTATGCTCATATACAATCAGTTATTGTACTTTATGAACAGAGTCAAGTCAAATTAATTTATGGTGCATTAAAAAAAAAAACAGAACTGTTTTATAATTTATGGATTAAAAGAATAAGTAGTTTAATGTGAGAATCAATATCAATGCAACATATTCATGTGTTTGCTTTACATTAATGTTAGAGTCACTTTACCATGCTCCACTTTGGATTGTCTGGTTTGCTGCTTGCATCATAATGGGCATCTTTCCTGTCAAACTGAGTGTGGTCCACATAAGCTTCCTTCACAATCTAAAGAGCACAAACGGCTGAATATCACACTTTGGCTGTAGCTTTGATGACATTATTAAAAATATTATCCGCCTGAGAAATAGAAGGACTTACTTTCAGGATTCCTGCAATCCCCGGTTCCTTACAGTTGCTGTGATAAAAGAAGGCCAACTGCCCCTCTTTCATCTGCCTCATAAAATTGCGTGCCTGTAGATGATCGATAATGTCAATTCAGACAGAGAAATAAAAAAACAAACGTATCCATTCTTAGAATTTGCAGACGGATGGTGAAGAAAAGATGGCAAAGAGCCTCTTTAGTGTGGTTTTGTGCTGACCGCTTATTTCAAGTCTTTTCATTACAGGAGTCAGTAGCTCTACCTGATAATTGCGGACCCCATCCCAGCAGCTGGTCTGATCAGGCAGAGCCTTCAGATCCTCGATCCCAAACTTTCAAAAGAACCAGAAGCGTGAGACGATGGCAGCACACTCACATTTTACAACATGTACAGACTGTGCTGATGAGGCCGTCACTGCTCCGTACCTTCATATCAATGCCGTTCTCAAAGCGGCTGTCGGGCTCAGACTTCATCAGCCAGTAGCAGAACTCTGGAGAGCCAGGTGACTTGGAGCCCTCCTTTGCCACCTTCCTCTTCCCACCAGATGAGGCTGGTTCACTTTCGTCTGTTTTATCTGTGTGGTTGAGGCAGTAATATTCACCAAATTCAAAATAACATCAGACTGGAACTTTGCATTGCTGCTTACCGGGAGTTCAGTATTTAGATTTTCTGACTTTGCTTACCTGACTTTGCTGGTCTTTTAGCCACTCTGGCATTTTTCTTTGGTGGCATCTCTCAAAGGCTGTAAAGAGATATGTGTTCATATGTTTTTTCAGTTTTGGGTGATATGATGATATCTAAGATTGTCCACCATAAGAGATGTTTTTCCCACAGTATTCACACCATGGAAAACAACACTTTAAGCTACAGTCAACAGCATAAAGCACATAATCTCAAACATATTTATCAAATTGAAAAATGCCAACCCCTCAGCCTGCGTGTGCTGAGCCAACAATCAATCCTGTGTTTGACATATTCTCATGGACTCATGATACATTACTATTACTACATGCTTAAAATATTTGGACTTTTTCTTCTGTCTTTGCTTAATTCATTGTTTTATATGCTGTCATTGTATCACATGACTCAACTCGACAACCTGCAGGGTGCGAGGCCGATGGTTTTAAAGGAGAGAATTGTGTAGAGAACAGGAACAGCTGTGTAACAGTTGTCATACAATTAAAATAATGACAACTGCCAATGTTTTTAATAATAACAGCACCAATAAGTAATAATCATAATAAACAATAGGCTAGCATATGCTGTTGGTGCTACTAATACCTGTAGAATGAGGATAAAGACGAAACCATGTTTAACACTGAATAAAATCTAGGGTTTCAACCATTACTCTGAATGAAATGAATGCATTTTTGTTGATTTTGACTTAATTGAAATATTTCAATAACTAACAACCAGAAACCAAACCATTTGCACAACACTTAAGTTGGACACAATCACAAGATGTAAGTAGAAAACTTGGAAAAATGTGTAAAAGGACATTTTAAACATTTCCGGTGGAATTAACTCATGGAAGTACTTAAAAATATGCCAAATAATATTTATACAAAAGTGGGTGACATATAGTCTGATCAACATCTAGCTTGTGGAACTTAGAGCAATCACTATTAATAATTATTAAGTTTCTTCTTCAACATGGCCGCGAGAAGAAATGTTAAAAAGCACACTAAACAAACACCATTCGGTGCATCAAATTCGAATATAGTGAGCATCCTAACACAACTGTACACGATCTCTGGTAATGTCTCTGGTCGGTACAGTAGAGTTTGTCTTCAGTGAAAGCTCACGTCAATATAGGATCTCTGACCAGGAAGTAACCTCTCACCTCCTGAGGCGGTGAATTTCTGCAGGAACGAAAACCACGAGGAGACAAAGTCAAGACACCAGTCACCGGAACCGATACACTGCAGAAGAGCCCGAAGATCTCAGCCTCTTCAACAGCGGAGAGACTCCGCCGTATTTACATGTCGTCCATATTTAAAATGAAGGCGGGTTTTTTCTCTTCTTTTTCCTCTTCCGGGTGGCAGTCACCCTCATAGGGATGTGATGAAGAAGATAAAGAGCCCGTAACTCATTATAATGACAAACCTTTTCGTTATCACGACTTAGTATCTTATTATGCTATGAAGTACTTAAACTGGAAATCTACTGTGGTTTAAGTAATCGTAATAGTTGCATCTCACTCCGATGTTCAGCAGCTATTATTATAAAAACAAATGAAAACTAACTTTTATTTAGCTTCTCTCATTTTTAGAAAATGCAACTGGCTCCTGTGCAGAATGAAGAATGAAGAAGTAAGTTATAATATTGAGATATAAGGAAATTGAAATAGCTGGTCTGTGTTAGATTGAGAGGCAATGCTAAAGTGATCAACTGAAACAAGGGACTGAGAAAATACTTGAATGACTCCTATCTCATGCTACACCTGACAATGGAATGGGGTTAAGCAAGGCAATGCATGCTAGTGCACCCATTACCTGACAGTACAACAACAACAATAATTATGATAATACAAAGCAGTAACATCTTTCGGGGATAACAAATAAAATTACTTAATTTGGTGTTTTTATTGGACCAATGAGTTGGAAGAGATAAGGAGGGGATGAGTAAGTTATAATATTGAAATACTGAGACAGTAAGTTATAATATTGAGATACTGAGATAGTAAGTTATAATATTGAGATGCTGAGTGATAATCATCAGATAGTAAGTTATAATATTGAGATGCTGAGTGATA